ATTGTTTGTATAGGAATATGCCATAACTCGCACCCATACCGGCCTTTTTGGCAGGCGCTAACGTTTGGGCGGGGATGGATCAGACCCCACAGTTGACCGGCTTTTGATCAAACTAGAGCTTCTTGAAAAGAAGGAGCATGTTGCACGTGACGAGAGGAAGCCGATGATACCCAATTTATAGATAATTGGTCATTCGTTGATCATAGGTCATACGTTGACCTTCCAAGTCAGTTTAATAACCCAATATTCGGAAGGGTCTAGACCTGCCTGGAAGTTTTTGTCGTGAGCTTTTATGAAGCTTTCGGTATAAGAGAGAGAGAGAGAGAGAGAGAGAGAGAGAGAGAGAGAGAGAGAGAGAGAGAGAGAGAGAGAGAGAGAGAGAGAGAGAGAGAGAGAGAGAGAGAGAGAGAGAGAGAGAGAGAGAGAGAGAGAGAGAGAGAAATTAGCCTTTTTAGAAAACGGTCGGTATATATAGGTATTAAGCGACAATGCACGGATTTAAAATGAACGTTCATCCTTCTCACAGCTAGCCTGTTCAACGTGTTTCCAGTTCCATCGCTAGTGACCTCGCCTTTAGGCCATGTGACCGGAAACCGGCCTAGCTAAACAGCAGATATTCTATGGGCGCGGTCCGCGGAAACCTTGAAAATTGGCTGTGCCGCATTGTCATTCCTAGTGGTTTTAAGCCTGGCTAGATTGGCTCCATGCGCTCCGCAGATCGGCAAATTTGTAGTTAAGCAGCCCTGAAGGCACTGGCCGAGTTGCTCCGCTGGTCCCGGCCAAATAAGACACAAGGGACCAAACACAATTTCACATGTTGCGGACGTTTCTAATCTTAAGGCTAGAAACGAACGGTTAATGAGACCTTACACGCCGAATTCTGGGCTATAATGGGCTCTATGTAGAAACTGGTCACAGACCAAAGATCATTTTGGTCAGGGTCATGAAATTTTCAGGGTAGGTGTAAACTTTCAATTGCAGATGGCCTGAACTTATCCGACTCCTGACCGCATGGGTATTTATTTACTTATGGTGAGAAAAATAACTCACGGCACTGAAAGCTTCGCTGCTATCCGCCACTTTAAACGCAAGTTATTCAGGAAAACCAAGGAGAGGGGTTCATTTTATCACCCCTAATAAGAAGATGGGTTTCCATTAAAAGAAAACGGTAACATCGATAAAAAACATCTCCTGTATATTTCTCAATTTAATGTGGTGAGTTTTCCGTAATGTTAATAAATGCTTATTAGGTAAACAATATTGTAAGTTGACATGGCACGTCATTTCCATTCTATTTTATCCCGTTCGTTCTAGCCCCTCTCGCCTGCCGCCCCCCCCCCCCCCCACACACACCACCACCACTACCACCACACCGGCTAAGTTGGCTGAGGCGAAGCTGGCGGAGGCGAGCGCCTCCCCTCCCTTCATGCCAAACAGCGCCTGGCTGTCGTGACCTCTGGCCTCACCGCCCGAAGGCTCGTCCGCTGTCCAAGGACGCCCTGCGCGGGCCGCAGTGATAGCCTCTGCCGCGTCCCGCCTCTATCCACCGTTCACCACGCGCTGGATTCATTCATGCCTCTGTGTTTCAGCGTCCTACCCGTTGGGTGGCACCACTGTAGTCATAGGCGACTGCAGGGAAGCCGCAGTCAGAATGCCCCAAACGGCGAATTTTGATGTTTTCTTTTAATTTCTCCGAAACTAGCCGGCATACGATCAAACCTTTTTCCATGATCATGGAAGGGAGCTATACGAATAAATAGGTCACATCTTCAAGCCTACAAAGCTGAAGACCAAAAAGATATAGCCGGAAAGGCAAAACCTACGCTTAAAACCCGCGGGACCTGTACCTATAGGAACTGCAATTGCTAGGTATAGTGTAAATTGAAGAGGAAAAAAGCGCAAATGCGCACAAGCTTCATGCATTTTGTTCATTGCCAATAGTTTTCAGTATTTCGGTAACGTTGGCCTTTTTATAAAATGTTAAGTTAATTGTGGGGTATTTCCTACATACCAAACTTTCATTGTTCCTCGTATTGCTACTTTTCGTATAAAAAGGTTTTTAAAATGAATTTACAGACACAGTATGTATTCAAATAAATCTAATCACATTCCGTGAACCGTTGTTAACTATAGTCGGTACGCAGCGTATCCTGAATTCAAAAATTTTGGTAAATTATGAGACGTAACTTGCATTTAGTAATAATGAAACAAGCACCCTTACAAATCAGTATACCTATATTTTTTGCCCTGTTTTTATCTACAATCGGACATACCTCAGACATGGATGAGATAACACATCCATTATCTCATCCATGCCTCAGATATAGGTACTTGATGGAATTAGGCATGCTAGAAAAATAAAATGAAGCAATGGCCTTTCATGAAACGTTGGGCTTACGCTATAAGAACGCAAATCGTGAGTCGGTGGTAACTGAAACGTTCTTTGTTTTAAATGGTTAATTCGTCAGCCACTAAATCCTAAGACGTTAAATCGTTAGATCGTTCAATTTTGTGACATATGGGTGCTTGAGCATAACGATCAAATGACGAACGATTTACGATTAATAAATTAAGAAACGATAAAAGAAGTGTTATTGCTGCATTGACTTTTCTAGCCTTAGATAGACATTCCTCGTAGTTTTTGAGCAGATGGTAAGTTTTCCTCTAACATACCTAAAGAAAAAACTGATATTCATTGATCAATCTGTTTTTGCTTTTAAATAGCTATTTTTATGCATACCTATAGCTAGAGTTGATAGTTTTTTTTCTTCTTTTACACATTTTTGCTTATATAGCCAATTTATTGAGATTAGGTCCAAGAACTCGATGGCGACCTCATATCAGTTGTCCGTCCGGCGTCCAGTATTCTGGCCTCATTTTGTAGTGCCCATGCTTCTAAAGCGTGAGAACATCGCTCTGCAAACTGAAAACTGTGTCAGACTATCAGTGCCGAAATACCAATGTGATCATTCACTTGACCCACGCGCGGTGCTAAAAGTGATTGACTTTCTGACGAAAAACGTAGATACCCATCGGCCGCCTCTCACCGTCTGGCCTAAAAACTGCCTCTCTGGCCTTCTGTCTCATTACGTCTGTGCCAGGAAAGTCGAGTGGTTGTTCGCACCAACTTTAAAGAACGCGAGATATTCTCACAAAACACTAGGAAGACGCATAATGGGATGAAAGCTCGTAACTAAATCGAAGTGGAATCCCACTCGAGGCTAGTTTCACGAGCATATCACCGTGAACGTAGCCTTCAACTTGAAATCAATGAGCCATTCGCAAAACTTAACCCGCGCCCGACTGGGGTCTGAGCATAACGCGCCCGGCTACTGGGGGGGGGGGGGGGGCTATCCCCCTCTTAACTCCGAAACTACTGGGCCGATCGTCACTAATTCAAACGGCGTCTGATATCCCCGGAAAAACTGTCGAGCGAGCGAAAATTAATTTCATTGACCTCGAGGTCACCGATGACGTCACAGGTCAGGTTCACGTAACAATTATCGATAATTGGCTTGTTCACATTTTGGGCTCTGGCCGCCGTCTTACAAGTCAGATCGGCCTCTTTTTTTGTTTACACACTCGTGAATAGATGCTTGAGATACCCTAAGGGTACCAAAATTGTACTTTGATTTTCAGGTCAGGGTCAGGTCATCACAGGTCACGCCTCACGGAAATCTTATGTCATGCCATGCATCGGTCACGTGATACATGTTTTATGCTCCATTTAGACCATATATTTCGAATTCGATGTCGTTTATGTCATTCAAGGTCATTTTGAGTTAAATTTAGCTTAGGTCAGGCCACTTTCAGGTTAAAAAGGTCAAATTTAAGTTGATTTTTTTTTTTTAACAAAAAAAGTGTATCGGATGCAGTTTGAGCTCAGGAACACGATAGTGCCATTTATATTGGTTTATAATGTCAAATACGTACTGAAAAAATGATTGGAAAAATTTATAGTCGTGAATTTTTTTTCCTATGATGCGTATAACTTAGCCATTTTTGAAGATGTCCGGTTAAAACTGGATGGAGTAAATTATAAGCATGTGTCCTATCACATATATTCCGCTTTTTTCTCGAAAAGTCAAAAACGTTTTGAAAAAAGATAAAATATAAATTTTGAATTTTAATATATATACTTTTCAAAATTTTCAAAATTTTGAAAATCCGAGATAACAGTTTGACAGCGCAGTCTATTATGAGTCCTATCATGCAAAGAAATTGGATCTAGCTTAAAACCTGAGCTCTTGGGAGCGATTGCCGTGGTTCAATGTTTAGCGTCGAAATCGGCCGAACATGACGTCACCCTGGCGTCATTTCCGGCTGACCTATGGCAGCTACTAAGTTCATATTTTGACACAAGATGTCAAATTGATGTCGCCGAAGGTACTGAAAGTTTGGCGTCGATGCGACAAGCGGTTTAGAAGTTATCGCAGAAAAACGGGAGGGGGCTATGAATAGCCCCCTCCCCCCAGTGGGGCGCGGGTCAACATAAGTGAGCAGTCTTTCCCATTCCAGTGACATCTCCCTCCTTGCCAAGCCGTCATTGCATCCCGATCCTATCCAAATCTGACAGCGGCACCGTCCCAATTCGACACCGGCGTCCAACCCCTCCACCCCACTCTCTCATCCTCCGCTCATGGACGCCCCCCCCCCCCTCTGGGCAGCCTGAGCCTCCTCACGTGGCCATCTCTATTGATAGCCAACTGAACCCCTTCACCCCTCCCCCTGACCTCTGGCCAAACTGCCACCGTGAGGAGTTAATCGTTCCCCTCCTGTCTCGATGGAACAGCTGGTTTTCTGTCGGCCAAAACGCTCGCCACGGGCAACATCGGATCCCAAGTACACAGTGTCTGACGTGGCACGGGGCGGTGTCCACTATCCACTGCGGTATCCAGTATCGATCTCAGACACGAGTCGCGCTTGCGCCGACGATCGGGAGGGGAGGGGAGGGGAGGGAGGGAGGAGGCTGCGTCGGCGCGCTGCCGCCCGGTCAGGTGGCTGGGGGAGGGAGAGGGGAGGAGGTCGCGTCGGCGCCCTTGGTCGGCCGACGATCACAGGACCGGCGGCCAAGTCGTGGGTTTCAGCGGCAGTGAGGGGGTCGTGTGAGCCCCGCCGTGCAGGGGAGGGGACGTGTCAGCGCAGCCACCGGTGACACAGTGCGAGTTTGGTGTCATCAGACGACTGAGACACACATTCTCGCCCGGTCACTCAGGTCAGTTTGGTATCGGGTCAGCAGAGGTCAACTGTTCATATTTAGATTTGGTAAGAGTTTGCATAGTCCACTGCGGTTGAATAAAATGGTTAATACATGTAGTGAGGCTGTGAATGGATCCATGACTTCTCACAAGACTTGCTTTGCATGATTGAAACATATTTTTTATTATAAACCATAATAGCTCTTTATGCAAAAAAAGCCATGCACTCTTTCTCGCACCGTATCATCAGGCTGCATTCACAGTCAACACCGTAGAACGCAATAGGACACTCCTTCCATGGAGCAGTGTCCGCATCAGCTGATAGCTGATCTGGCCACCCAGTTCACAGCTCAAGTGGTGTTGCGATGACCACTGGTCACCTGACCCCCCCCCCCCCCCTCATCCCCCATGGCCCCAATACCCCTGATAGGCGCGGCAATCGGTCGTTCAAAAAGCGTCCGCCCCTTGACTGCGGGCCATTGTGAGAGCAGTTCTCTAACGACGGTCTCAGTATCTGTGGGGACCCGGTCACAAAACACTAAGCGGCCTCGTCGGGGCAGTCAGGCACCCGCTTTTGTCCAAGTACGTTATCATTGTAAGTACATTTTTACCTTTTTCCGCGGCAAATCAACATCATTTTACGGCTTTCGTAGCATATACTCATAAATAAACGGGATTTCGTATTTTACGTAATTCTTTACCAGCGCACATTAATTCAATCGTATATTTGTAATTGGTGAATGAACCAATCAGCTCTGACACCAGGTGTTCAGTCAGTTCAGTAAATGATTGACATACAGAACTGCTGAGCCTCGATAATCGTATACACCTGTCGCGCCCTTCCGAGCGGCGGAAACTGACGTCAAGAGGACCACAGGTGTTTTGTGTCAGCCGAGTCGAGATCGTCGGGCCACCTTGTGGCACCCGTCATCGTACGACAGCTTGAGCTACATGTCCCTTAGAGGTCACAGGACACAGTTTGATCGTGATGGCACGACTCAAGTACGACTGTTCAGGCACTAGGGCAATGCCCGGGCAATGTTGCATACATGTATTTTGACTTCCAATCTGAACGAACGTGAGCAATGACATTAAGGAAGGGCACAGGGAAATATAATGGCCCGTTACACAAGTAAGTTGGGACTCAGTTATCAACAAGTTCTGACGAGCGATGTAATATTAGAATGGATATTAGATTTAGATCTCTCACAATTATTTATTTGGTTGTCTGATAACGATTGATTCTGGTGTAAGAAATGTAGATACCTAAATCGGAATCAGACAAGTCAGACTTCGGATGAATACGGCCGTACGAAGTCACATGCTGACCGATCCTCTATCTCAAATTTTGCTGTTTAACATAATTGATTTTGCAAAGTACCACACCACGAATCATTTGCATCATTTTCAGCACGAATCAATCATCCACAACTTATCGCAATTTCATTTGCAAAATAATGCCTTTATTTTAAAACGATTAATCGTCTTCATTCTATCTCTCTCCAACAATCAAAACGGCACTAGGAAATCGGAATCACCTCGTCCCTGCCGCCACCTTCCCCGCCCCCGGCGTGACCGTGACCTCTGACCTGACCCGACCCGACCTGGCGGCAGACTGTAGTCATGCCGGCAGTAGCGGGCACCGTCCTGGTGACGGGCGGAGCTGGCTTCATCGGCTCGCATACGGTGCTCGAGCTACTCAACCTGAACCGGGAGGTGGTCGTCGTGGACAACCTGGTCAACGCGGCTCAGGGTGAGGTTACTCGACGCTCTCCGAAATGACCAACGGAACCCCGCACTTTGTAATTTTCTGGATCCCAAAAACGATGCAACTATTCGTGCAGCATTGGCATTGCAATGTCTTGTATTGAAAATCGTTGAAATTACTACCCAAGGGTTTTGTGCGACAATCGCTTTACTATTCGTGGCTGACGTCACAATACTATTTGTAGAAAATCCAAGCGAACGAAACTTTTCTTCTCAAGGTGTGTACCTATGAATCGTCCGCGATTGTTTGGCAGGCGTGGTCAAGCCGGCTAGTCTGGAGCGAGTGGAGCGTCTGACTGGGAAAGCGGTCACCTTCTACTCCCTGGACGTCCTGGACAAGCCGGCCCTCGCCAAGGTCTTCAAACAGGTAATCACGAACACAATGCCGAGAGGATTAATTTATTTGAATTTAAAGTATAGACATGCTACTTAGTGTAAACTGTCTAAAGAGTGTTGACTTGATTCGTTCGTACGACAGTACGAAAGCGCCGAATTAAGAGTGATCACTTCCAAGCCCATATCTATCGGTATAGTTCCTATCATTGTACTAAACTGATAGTGTGACTGATAAGAATATTCAGTGTAAACCGATAAAGGTAATAGGTATAGCCAGCAGAAAGGCGACTTATCTCACTTACGACTCTGTTTCAGCACGAAATATCCACCGTAATCCATTTCGCGGCCCTGAAGGCCGTAGGGGAATCGGTGGAGAAGCCCTTGGCGTATTACCGCAACAACGTCAATGGGACCATCGCCCTGCTGGACGTAAGTCTAATGCAGAAATCGACAACGGCTCATCACGAACCACCTGAGCTGATGGAAGTCTTTTCTAAAGCAGTTCTGACAGATGTCAGCTACGTCGTACGTCAACTACGACAGCAAAATGTTGTTTGTTGTTTTATATTGTTGCTTGCAAGAAATGTCCTGCAGATCTCATTAGATTATCCGTGTTATTTGTTGGAGCGGAGGCCAAAAACGACTCCACTACCCCGTGCCATCCATGCCGAAGTGCACAACACGATGACCTGACCTGACCTGCACCCTCCCCCCCCCAGGTGATGGAGGAGTGCGGGTGCAAGTCGCTCATCTTCTCCTCGTCGGCCACCGTGTACGGGTCACCGCAGTCCCTGCCCGTGGACGAGACCCATCCGACTGGGGTGGCCATCACAAACCCGTACGGACGGACCAAGTTCGTCATCGAAGAGATCCTCAAAGACCTCTGCGTGGCCGACAAGGTTAGACAGCAGCAGAGGGCGGATATAGGTCGAGACACCTGGAAAGCGAAACGAGTACAGAGATGTATAATAGGAATCCTTGACTATAACATAAAAATGTCAATCTTGATGGGAGACTTCAGATGAAAACGAACTTTAACATGTCAAACACCTTCTTCGCGGACTGCAGTGCACATCATTTCACTGCCACAATGCCCAGCCTTTCTTTTCAAGATAGATGAAGACATATTCTAATATCAAACTGTGGATAGATCCAAGCATGACCGATGGACACCTGACTTCCATCCTCTCCGTCCCCCCAGGAGTTCAGCGCGGTGCTGCTGCGCTACTTCAACCCTGTCGGCGCGCACGCCTCTGGAGACATCGGGGAGGACCCGAACGGTCCGCCGAACAACCTGATGCCCTACGTGTCGCAGGTGGCCGTGGGCCGGCGACCCAAGCTGCAGGTGTTCGGCGGCGACTACGATACCCCGGACGGCACCGGTAGGTGGGGAACGAGCGAGGTGGAGGTCAGAGGTGACAAAGGTGCAATCTCTTACTGGGCCTTCTACCTCACTATTTATCAATCTCTTTAGCTGTACGAACTCAAACCAGAAACCTTGTGCAGATTAACGAAACTGAGCGTTGGAACTCACGATCACAGTACCTCAAAGGCTGGCCTAACCTCATTGACCTAACCCCCGCACCCCACAGGCGTGCGGGACTACCTGCACGTGGTGGATCTGGCCAAGGGTCACCTGGCAGCGCTGCCCAAGTCGGCAGAGCCCGGATGCCACATCTACAACCTGGGCACCGGCTCCGGGTTCTCAGTGCTGCAGGTGATAGAGGCCTTCAAGAAGGCCTCCGGACGAGACATCCCCTACGAGGTGAGTACGAAGTATTTCATTGATACGACCTAAATATGCAAAGTTGCTTGGCACACATTGTTGCGTCCATTGTTTTCGGTAAATATTAGTTCAAGTAACTATTCCTTTTTAATGCGACATAGCATGGAGATGGGAGCCCAGTAACAAATCTATTGTATTTGACGTGGTAAAGCAGGATTTGCTTCTTCCGACCTGGTTTTCAACAGCAGAACATTTTTTTTTTCTGTACTGAAGCCCTCGTCACCTCCGCCGGTCCGCCATCTCCCCTGCCCCCCCCCCCCCACCTTTCTCTAACCCTACTACCCTCCCTCAGGTGGTGGCCCGGCGAGCCGGAGACGTGGCCTCCCTCTACGCAGACAGCTCCAAGGCGGAGCGCGAGCTCGGGTGGCGCGCAGAGCTCACCCTAGACGATATGTGCGCCTCCGCCTGGCGGTGGCAGAGCCGGAACAAGTACGGCTTCTCGGCGCCGCCGGCGGAGGGCGACACCAATGGTCGCGCCTAATCGCAGCGACATCTGCTGGCGGCAAAAGAACTAGTGCCTCAGAAGGGTGGGAGTGTATATGGGAGGGATGGGGTCTTGTGCTGCTTCTGTATGTGTGTGTGTGTGTGTTATGCGTGCCGTAAATGTGTATGTCGAACCGAGCGAAATGTTACGTCCGGTTTCTGTAAATATTTTGCTTTTGTTAATGTTACTCGTGTTACGCGCTGTAAATCTTAATCACAATGTGTATATATTTTGTGTCAAATTTGTAAATATCGAAACAATATTTAGTTCGTTGAGTGATTCGTGTTGTACTTAATTACGGGTAAAATTAAAGAGCACTGGGATGATCAATTAGTCGAGCGACGAATCGTGATAGCATACGAGTATTTTGTACAAAAATATACCTGTGAGGTGCCGAGGTCTGTGATGCAAGAAACGAGCCGCTGAACGACGGAGTCAAATGCAGGCAGAGGCGTGCCATGCAGAGTCCTGAATAGGAATGGAAACGGAACAACGAACGACACTCTAACTGATCAAGGAGCGACGACTTTTCCAAAACAGCAAATAACGAAAAACACAAGGTGAGAATAATCGGTGCGCACAAACGATAAATCCAACCATGCCGAAATACTTACGGCTTCTCGGCACCGCCAGCGGCGGGCAACACTATTGGCAGAGCCTGACTTTAGGGACATCTGTTGGTGGCAAAAAGAACTAGTGCCTCAGGAGGGTGGAAGTGCGTGAGGGGCAGGATCTTTATTCAACTATGGCCCAACTCTTCAGAGTCCTCGAAGGCCTAACATCAAAAGAGAACTTCTAACATCATAAGATCCATCATTAGATCGAGGCCAACTACCAGTAAACAACGGAAACACAAGAGACGAGAGAATAAGCGGTCATGCACTAACGATAAACCTAACCATGGGCGACACCAATGGTAGAGCCTGATCGCAGGCACATCCGTCCGTGACAAAAGACCTGGTGCTTAGGGAGGGAGGAAGTGCCTGTGTGAGGGGTGGGGCCATTATTCCACTATGAGTCAACTACTGAGTCCTCATAAGGCCTTGAGATTACCTCTTGCGTAGAGAAAGTCGAAAGCCTATTCCACACACTCTTCTGTTTCCATAATGAACCGACCCTAACAAGTCAGCGAGGGAATCCAACCAGGTGAGTTAACAAGGGGAGCCAGCCGCCAAACGCGACACCTCAACACAGAGGTCATGAATCCTATTCCTGATCCAGTGGAACGGACCAGAGACAGACGAAACAAAGAAGCCTCAGATCGTGACAGCCACGAACAGACATTCAGAGCGATTTGAGATGAAGAATCCAAACCCAAATCAAAATGCTAACCAGTCACGAAACTAATGCCCAACTATGATGACCAGCCACCAAGTGAGCCAATAACGAAAGCTACGACTAGACCTATGACCAGAGCCACGAGCGAAACAAACGGGAGGCTGAATGCCAAGACCAACAGCGAACGAAAACCGAACCAAAATTATGGCTGACCGGAGTTAAAGCGAATAAACGGGAGCGGAGCGAAAAGCGGGCGAACACCGCGAGCGCCCGACGTCAAATGAGCGCGGGCGCCGCGCGGTGACCCACCCTCGCTTCTTGTCCACGTGACACCGGAGAGGTTAAAATCGTACTTTCAAAGGTCACCACCAGATGGCCATGCGGGACTGCTCCGCCCAAAGGTCACCTTCAGCCACGCACGTGTCAGGCAGCGCGCCTGGGCCAGGTCGCTGACGCGCTTTTACAATCTTCAACAAAATGGAAGGGCTTGCATTACGATTGGAGCACAAGAACTAAGAACTAGCGGCGGAACAAACTGGAGAACTCAGTCCGACCACCAACAAAGATATCGTATCGGAATAAAGTGTCGAGGAAATCACCCATAAATCAACCAAAGAAAATGTATAGCATTCATTTTTTTTCAGCACTCACCAATAGACCGCCAGTAAGCTTCATTGCAGTATATTACAACGATATCAAAACGATCACAAGCTACACAGCCACCACTCGAATCGCCAGTGATAACTCTAGCATATTTAGTCAAGGTGTTCCTCCTGAATGCTACTACACTGCCCGGGCAATACTGCGAATGGCATATCGATCAAAAGCTGAAAATCCAAAACAAACCGTAGTACTTAGGGCACTCGAGGACACAAATTACCATAAAGAGCCATCTTAATCTTTGGCAATGCTTCTGCTCCACTATGCTAAACGGAGATATCGTATCGGAAGAAAGTGTCGAGGAAATCACACATAAATCGATGTCGATGCTATAGGTGGATATGACAACTGAATCAACCAGATATGAATAATAATATAAACCCCACCGCCACCGTCGCCGTCATTTATCGTTCCCATCTTGCAGTTGAACATGTAGAAAATAACTGTGGCACCCCCACAGTACGTCTTCAATTGTGTCTCTCCAGCGCCCAACGCAACTAGCCTGGATATGATAGCCAGTCTTACCAGCGCGCAGGCCGTGCAGCCATACGGGAAGAAGAGTGCCGCATTCACGACCGGCTCCGAGCTCACTAGAGCAGCGAGCTGCGACGATGATACCGGCTTCTGCGGCCTCAAAGGCTCTGAAACAGCGAACGAAAAAGGTGCGTCATTCTCCAGTTGGTAGAACGAAGCATACTGGCCTTCGTTCCTCACCCAAAAATCTCTCACATATCACATGTTAACGGAATCTGCTAATCGAGTCGACCTACGCAGGCAATCTGCCACTCGCTATGGGACTTCCTCTGCCTTATGAAATAATGCACGGTACAAGCCGTTCAGGGTGAACACTTATACGATGCCCGTTTATACGTGAGCGGCTAACGGAGCAAAACTACGTGAGAGTAGCCAATTCACCACACATACCGAAAGGCGACCTAAACAGAATGATCCTCAACCACACACTCACTGCAGCGTCAGCCTACGTCTGGAGTCAGGGGGATGGTGTTTTTTGGATACTTTTTGGACATTTACTCACATCACATACCCTCACTTCAGACATCCCAACCAACCGGCAAAAAAAGCAATTTTCCCGCCCTTACCGGCAGAGGAGAGCGGCGAGACGACGGGCAGCGGGCAGTGCGCGCTCCCTGTCGTCGCTCAATCGACACGCGGCGGTGGCGAGCGCAGCAGACCTCTCCGTCGCAGATAGCGCACGATGAACGGCGTGCACCCGAGAGTGGTGGCGATCCGCGCCGGGGCGAACACCTTGTGAACGGCGTAGGCGAGCACGAACGTGCTGCCGCCGGTGACGATCTTGCTCTGGGCGATACTGTCGCCGAGGCCGAGCCAGCGCAGCATGGCCACCACGTCAAGACCGCTGTCGGTGCGGGGGGGGGGGGTCAGTGGGGGATGGGAGCATCGGGGCAATGGACATCGACAGTCAATTCGAATATGTGCCACTGAAATTAAATAACAAAGCAACTGTGCCTAATAGCAACATCTATCTACCACATATCTACCGAGTGAATTTAGTGAATTTATCACCATTAAGTAAAAGGCCTCTTTATACTGAGGTCTATACAGGTATCTATGAGGTAACACTTTTCTGCTCACCTTTTCACGGCCACATAGAAGAACCCGAGCGAGGCCAGTGAGATGGTGACGTGAAACACGACCACGGTGGCGCCGTAGTCGCGGACGGCCAGCCGCAGCCGCTGCCGCTGGTTCAGCTGCGCCGGCGGGGGCTCGCGGTCGTCGTCGAGCCGCGCCCGGGAGGCGTGCAGACCGCGGGTCCACACGGTCGGGGGAGGCTGGGAGGAGGGTAGGGGGAGAGTGGCGAGGGTACCACTAAATGCTGCACTGTGGCTGGTCTGGTGGAGCTTGACAAGGGAATTTCTATGGCCATGGGAGGTCCTCAGTGTGGCTAGTGCAGGTGTGAAGGTACACAGATGCCGAGCTGATGATAGCTGCAGAGATTCTGTGCCTGAAACATGGGGAGATGGGCAAAGTTTTGTAAATTGCACATTGCTAACAGAAGTAAGTGAAAATTATTGGTCATTGCAGTCACATAACGGATGATCTCAGTTATTTGTAAAAAAATGAAATGGCTCTTGAAATTGGCACCAACCTTGAACAGCAAGTTCCTTTCCAATTCTCCCAAACATCACCATCCTGCATTTTATAATGTTTGTCATCCTGATTGTTATGCTCTTCTTCTGTGTTCCCAGGACCTGAGAAAAAAATTGTGATGAAGCATACTGCAATGAGGTACCTACGTAGTATGCATTAAGCAAAAATTATTAAAGGGACCCTCCCACCTTAACATTAGTTTTGAGTTGAGATAGCCAAGTTTGCGGCCAGGCTCAGAAACCACCATTTATCCTGGTCGCAACCCCCGCAGCTTTATGGTGTTCAAGAAATTTCTTCCCTTTACTTGCAGGGTGGGACCAGCGTGGTCCCTATCTCTTAACCATTACGGGAATCTGATGACGTCATCAGGCTTTCGAACTTCTGTTAACTGTTTGACTAAAACGTTTTGTAGCACGCGGTGGTATATGCTGCTTTGCGCGCAACAAATGCCGCACTTTCAAATAAAGTCGCTAGGAACAGCGGAGATCCCAAAAAGTAAACAAAAGTAAAAGTCTAATATCTTGAAAACCGGTGAATATTTTTCGATGAAATTTGGTAGATATTCGTTTTTGCTCTTTCTGAACCGAGCGACATCACTTTCATGCCAATTCATTAACTTTTTTGAAGGTGGGAGGGTCCCTTTAATGGGCTTGAAGCACATCGACGAGGAGCCCACAGCCCAAATGTGTGGCAAACACCAATAAAAACAATGGCTGCTCAGATAGAAAAATAACCAAATAAATGCAGTCAAATTTCGAATTTTGACCCAAACACCTGAGACAGAGAGAAAACAAAATTCTTCCACTATACCTAACTTTCAAACGTTTTGATCTGTTTCAGTAATTGTTTTGAAACTTATCAATCATTACAAAAGAATAACCAACAAACAATCATGCAATGAATGCAATGAATAAAATATTCGCATCTCACAAGTCACTACCTTTATTTTGTACCTAATTTGTATCCTAAGCGAGTTTTGTTGATTTTTGCGTGCAAAATTGGTCGAAGCATCACTACTAATGATGAAGGCAATAAAGTTTGATGACGTATCTCAATCCATGATTTTGATTCGAGAATCGCTCAAATCCTGATAGCTCAATTTGATGGCTATGGATAGAATTTGAATTGCAAGGGTTTTGTAATTTAGAAAAATTTTTAAATTTTTCATTTATCAATTTTCAACAATTACTTTTCAAGTAATACATGAAAAATCTGGGAACGAACTTTGCAGTTTATTACGTCATAGGCTTTAAATCAGCTGCAGAAAGTCATCAATCTCATCTACTTCGGTAACCTTGATTAAAACCAGTTCTCTGGGTGTTTCCGCTTGCAGTGAGAGGCCAGTGGTTTGTGCTAAATTTGTGCACAATGGATTGGAGAAACCTCTCATTTATTGCTATATTGTGTTGTTTGAAGGTTCAGTGCAGTGATGGCTACATTGAAGCGGTTGGTGCAAGCCTAGATGCCACGCAGGTGGGATGGGAAAAACAGGTGGCTATGATGTGTGACAAAAACGGCGCAAAGTATCACAACCAATATATGGATGAATCAGGGCGCTGGGTCACTGATTTAGAGCACAACAAAGGGTGTATGAAAAGCAAGAGTGATATTTTGGATTATTGCAAGATGGTTTATCCAGGATTTGACTTCCTGAACGTGGTTCAGTCAACACATTCCCATCTGATCGAAGACTGGTGCAAGGTTGGTCACAAGAAGTGCCAGGGATCATTTTGGGTGCAGCCATTCCAATGTTTGCAAGGGAATTCTGAAGCTCCATCTCTTTCTGTGCCTGACACATGCCTGTTCGATCAGCTAAAGAATGTATCACTTTGCAAGAACTTCCATAGCTGGAGCAAGGCAGCCAACAAAACTTGCAAGAATCATGGCATGGGACTATACAGCATTCTGACCCAATATCCCTGTGGCTCAGAAGTGTTCAATGGTGCTGAGTTTGTATGCTGCCCAAGGGGTGACAGGAAAACCGTGAAGCCAATGCTGACTGATGCCGACGTGGAGCAGGAGACTCAGAGTGCTACATCAGAACCAGAAATGGAAGAGAGGAGCACGAGAGATCCATATTACACAAAGTTTGACCCTCGCATTGAGCATGATGCATTCAAGGCAGCTGAGAGGAGATTGGAAACGTCATACCACAAGAAAATCACCAAGATTATGAAGGAGTGGACAGAGCTTGAGGAAAGGTACCAGAAGATCAAGTACAAAAACCCACTGAAGGCTGACAAGTTCAAACTGAAGATGACTGAGAGATTCAACAGGATGATGAATGCCCTCAAAGATCAGGGCTATGCTGAGAAGCATCAGCTGGTTAATCTGCACCAGCAAAGGATCATTGCTCACATTAATGAGAGGAAGAAGGATGGCATGAAGTGTTTTGTCAAGTCACTAAATGAGAAACCTCAGTCCACTGCTGCTGTGCGGAAGTGCCTGACCCACCTGATCAGGGCTCTGCACAAAGACCGTCACCACACCATCTCCCACTACAACCATCTGCTGCTGAGCAGCGGGCTCTCTGCTGGAAACCAGAGGGATGCCACCATTGAGCACCTCCAGGACGTTGACCGCATGATCAATGAAAGTCTCCAGATGCTGGACCACTACCCTGACCTGAAGGATGCTCTCCTGGTGGACATGACGCGGCTGTCGGCCGAGCTGAGGAGCATGCTGCCCCTGCCGGAAGAACTGCAGCCCAGAACCACTTCAACCTCCACTTCATCCACATCTTCGGACGAGGCCGATGATGCCGACGATGAGGACTACGATGATGAGGATGACGACGATGACGAAGACTACATCGACGCTGACGACACAGCGTCGCGTGGGGAGACACTGCCGGCCGCCTCAGACCCCATCTGGAACTCGGAGGACGCCAACCGGATCGACATCGACGTGGAGGTAGAGCGGCGACCGGCGGCGCTGCCCGAACACCGCCTGGAGCCCATCGTGGCGCACGTGCGCACCCACGAGCATGTGCAGGGCGAGGCGACGTTCCGCGTGGTGGGCGAGGTGCCCTCGCCGAGCGGCGGCCGCGGCCTCTACCTGACGGTGGCGCTGGCCAGTCTGGCGCTGACCGTGGCACTGGTGGCGGCCGCGTGGGCGGTGCGCCGCCGCCAGCGCGCGCCGCAACGCCAGGGCTTCATCGAAGTCGACCAGACGGTGACGCCCGAAGAACGACACCTGGCGCAGATGCAGGTCAACGGATACGAGAATCCGACGTACCGCTATTTCGAAAGCAAGTAGGCGCCGTGCGTTGGCAGTTCCCTCGTCTAGGGAGGAGGAGGGATGAAGTCGAAGATCCAGGTGATCCGAAGAAGCGGATGGCACAGCAGGAAGGAGCTGTCTCGAGCTACAGATAGCTGCCGCGCGCGCCGTTCTGGGCGCCGCCGGAGTGTGGCTGACGTTACCGAGTTTGTGGCAGCGCCAGCAGCGGCACCACGCGCGGTCCGGCCATCGGTGTTTTGTCCGCAGATTCCATGGTGCGCTTTGTGTCGTCCTTTGTCTAGCAGTCGGTGGCGGAGAGGCGAACCAGCCGCCTACGCCTGTCCGGCGCACTCATTGTTCATATGTGCTTGTTTTGTGTATACGCTTTCGATGTAGGCGACGATGTAGTGAGATAGGTATCTTTAGGCTTTAGCAGTACGAGAAGCAGCTAATTGTGTCGTAGTTTTACGAGTTGAATCTACCATTTTCCATCTCGACTAATCACTTTCACCAATAAGGCGTGCCATATCGCAGTACGCTGATTTATCTTTGTGTCGACTTTGTGATTAGATAATTGAGATTGATGTCGCTGGAGTAGCGATGCTTTAACCCATTCGACCTTATGTATAAACTTTGGTAGCTATTTTGACATTCCTTTTGAGCGTGTCGTCTCCTGCCGAGATCTCTGGTTGTTTGTACCGTCGCGACTCCCAAGCACCACAGAGTGCATGCACACATTTACTTGAGCTCTTTCTCAAATAGTACGAGGCGCGGCGCGGTTTTGTTTCCTGTATTGTCTAGTATGGGGAGCTGCGATGGCCGCCGGCTGTCAGTCACGCCTCCAGCGACGCCCGTCGCTGGGGACCGTGTCCGGCACGTCGGCACGTCGTCCCGCGCCGCACCATGTTTCGAGTCGGTAATAAACGAGACTGGCCCAACGGCGCGTGTTGAGTGGCCGGAGCGGGGACGGGCGGGGCGTTACTGCGGGCCGCGGGGATATCGACCGGGCGGGGTCCGGGGACGGCGCCGCTGCGCTGCAGCCGGCCGGAGCGGCCACCAGGTGCAGGGCAGCGGGCCGCTCCAACCGGGTCGTCGTAATGCGATCAGGACAGCTTACATTACATCAGGCTGGCCGTTCTCAGAATGCTGGCGCTCGGTTGGGATATCACGTGATCCGGATGCATATCGGTCTGGATAACGGGAGATGGCACGGCCCGCAACTGACATCGTAGGGCATTGGACATCAGCGCAATGAGAGGAGTGACAGTTAATCGGCACTCAATGCATGTTTGCTTATAAGGTACCTACTACCTACTACTACCATGATGGAGAAACACTTGTTTTAAAGTTATTAGTTACCTATTCCAGCTCAAAGTTCCAGTTCAGTTCGGCTAGGTCAAGGTCGGTCTTTTGGATACCTGCAAGGTACGAAACAATCGGGAGCTTAGTGATCTGCGTTCCGAATCGGGACGCAGATCTCTGGTGTGGTGACAGGTGAATGGCAGGGTATATTGAGTGAAGGTGAATGGTGCGAATAGCGATGAGTTGTGTCAAAGGAATCAAGGAATCAAGACTTCATTGTGTCTAGTCCTGATGTCAAAGCCAATTGTCCTCTTGATTGTCCTTCTTAGTTCTTGGAGCCTCATTCAATTAGGTATGCTCTAGCTAAAACCTATCAAGTAGGTAATTTAGGAATCTTGGATGAAACCGTTGAAACCTCCTCGGAACTGATGTCGCAAAATGCCCGGCACGGTATGTTGCCCGGCGGTGTTCGTGTCGCAACGCAACCCAAGGCCGTGTCGCAATCGACGGTAGTAGGTGGTGACCTTGACCTTGATCAGCGTATACTTGTCCTCAAGTCGTACCTATGTGTTTGCAGAAATGATGAAAAATTGCAGACAAAATTCAAAAATACAATTGGCTCAAATAAATCGCTAGCTCTCAATAATCTGTAACACGCGCCGCTGATTGAGTAATGTCAATATGACGTCATTAGAACAAAGTCTTGAGTCAAACATATTTCTTTGTCATATTCGTAAAACCTTGCTAGATTGTGATTCGTTTCCTTTGTGTCACGCGGCACGCGTAACCGGACAAATCTTCGTATGGCATTTCTTCGTCGCGCAATATTTCGTCCGCATTTCTTCGTCCGCAAATCTTCGTCGGCGCATTTATTCGTGTCGCATTACTTCGTCTCGCATTTCTTCGTAGGTGCAAAAATTCGTAGCGCATTTCTTCGTATCCGCATTTCTTCGTCGGCGCATTTCTTCGTCAAGCATTTTTTCGTCCACGCATTTCTTCGTCTACGCAAATCTTCGTCCGCATTTCTTCGCCCACGCAAATCTTCGTCTCCGCAAATCTTCGTCCGCAAATCTTCGTCCCCGCAAATCTTCGTCCGCAAATCTTCGTCCGCATTTTTTCGTCCACGCATTTCTTCGTCTACGCAAATCTTCGTCCGCATTTCTTCGTCCACGCAAATCTTCGTCCCCGCAAATCTTCGTCCGCAAATCTTCGTCCGCAAATCTTCGTCCGCAAATCTTCGTCCGCAAATTTTCGTCCGCATTTTTCGTCCACGCATTTCTTCGTCCAATCAAATCTTCGTCCGCAAATCTTCGTCCGCAAATCTTTGTCTGCGCTATCTTCGTCTCCGCAAACACTCGTCCACAAATGTGGTTCAATAAAACCATGAAAAATATCAGACAGTCAAGTGAATGACGAATTTGATGCATGGAATGGATGATCGAAACTTTTGAAGTCAGCTAGATGAGGTCAGTCAGGTGAAGCTATTGTATTTGGAGCCGACAATTGTAACATTCCATATCATTTGTCAATTTGTGTCCCGGACATTCTTTTTTTCGCGGTCGTTGAATGACAATATATATAATCTCTTGTACCTTTTCGCCGGCATAGCGGCGGAACGGGGAGGGCACCGGGGCACTGTTCCCCTCTTTAATTTTGGCCTTTTAACAGTAGCCCTATGGGCGTTGCATGGAAAGCATATTGGACCAAAAGTCGGCAGTGCCGTGCCCCCCTTAATTGAAGATGTTCCGCCGCTAGTACTGCCCGCCGGACCTATTTGTTTTCTACGGTACACGCCGGCCGAGGGGGCGGGTACGACCCCCCCCCCATCGCCGTTTCGCCACTGGTGGAGCTAGCGCGTCGCGGAAAAAACGAGCGTGTGCGCCGTTACGAGCCGCAGAGATTAATACCCGATTTTAAGGCCTTCTAGGTCAGGGGTCGGCATACGGCCCGCGGGCCGGATCCGGCCAGGTGGGTGACGGTTGGATCCGGCCCGCGACCATCTGACGTCCGGCCCGCGGCTGGTATCAGCGACTTACATCGTGTTCCGGCCCGGCCCCCCCCCCCCACACACACACACCGCCTGGAAGGTTAAGCGAGCAGACCACGTGAAGCCGCCAAGTGCACGCAGCTGCAGCAGTCGTTGATGCTGCGCGCAAAAGCTGCTGACCAAATCTTACCGTTGCAAGTTTTGTCTAGAAGTAGAATTAGACAAAAACACCCGCAAATGGTGTTTATAAACTCATGAAGTGTGCGAAGGAAGAACTGTTGTGCCAAAGCACATTTGAGTCACTTTTATATCGGAGTCGATTTATGAAGGAACCGCGGGCCGGAACACGATGTAAGTCGCTGATACCAGCCGCGGGCCGGACGTCAGATGGTCGCGGGCCGGATCCAACCGTCACCCACCTGGCCGGATCCGGCCCGCGAGCCGTATGCCGACCCCTGACCCAGAAGGCCTTAAAATCGGGTATTAATCTCTGCGGCTCGTAACGGCGCACACGCTCGTTTTTTTTCCGCGACGCGCTATAGCTCCACCAGTGGCGAAACGGCGATGGGGGGGGGGGGGGGGGTCGTACCCGCCCCCTCGGCCGGCGTGTACCGTAGAAAACAAATAGGTCCGGCGGGCAGTAGCGGCGGAACATCTTCAATTAAGGGGGGCACGGCACTGCCGACTTTTGGTCCAATATGCTTTCCATGCAACGCCCATAGGGCTACTGTTAAAAGGCCAAAATTAAAGAGGGGAACGGTGCCCCGGTGCCCTCCCCGTTCCGCCGCCATGCCGGCGAAAAGGTACAAGAGATTATATATATTGTCATTCAACGACCGCGAAAAAAAGAATGTCCGGGACACAAATTGACAAATGATATGGAATGTTACAATTGTCGGCTCCAAATACAATAGCTTCACCTGACTGACCTCATCTACCTGACTTCAAAAGTTTCGATCATCCATTCCATGCATCAAATTCGTCATTCACTTGACTGTCTGATATTTTTCATGGTTTTATTGAACCACATTTGTGGACGAGTGTTTGCGGAGACGAAGATAGCGCAGACAAAGATTTGCGGACGAAGATTTGCGGACGAAGATTTGATTGGACGAAGAAATGCGTGGACGAAAAATGCGGACGAAAATTTGCGGACGAAGATTTGCGGACGAAGATTTGCGGACGAAGATTTGCGGACGAAGATTTGCGGGGACGAAGATTTGCGTGGACGAAGAAATGCGGACGAAGATTTGCGTAGACGAAGAAATGCGTGGACGAAAAAATGCGGACGAAGATTTGCGGACGAAGATTTGCGGGGACGAAGATTTGCGGACGAAGATTTGCGGAGACGAAGATTTGCGTGGACGAAGAAATGCGGACGAAGATTTGCGTAGACGAAGAAATGCGTGGACGAAAAAATGCTTGACGAAGAAATGCGCCGACGAAGAAATGCGGATACGAAGAAATGCGCTACGAATTTTTGCACCTACGAAGAAATGCGAGACGAAGTAATGCGACACGAATAAATGCGCCGACGAAGATTTGCGGACGAAGAAATGCGGACGAAGAATTGCGCGACGAAGAAATGCCATACGAAGATTTGTCCTGGAATCCGCGGCACGCCAGCACGGGGAGATTGGTGGATGTTTTTTGTTGTATTTTTCCATTTGGCTTATGAACGGTTTTACGATGGCTTCAAGCAATGAAAAAGTACTTTTAAAGCAAATAACAGACCTAACACGTAAGTACCTGCTTTTGATTGTAGACTAGTATACCTATCAAATTTAAGGGCAGCTAAATGATGAGGTACCTATGCTGGTTGTCATAATTTATATAGGTACCATATTTGGTGTTACTCATGCTTTGTCATCACTCATCAGTACTGGCTGTGAGTACTGAGATATTCATGTGGTGAGCAGTGTGACACAGATTTTGTTAGTGAATAGTGTTTGCAGAATTTGCATCATGCATGGAATGGTGCAGGCCTTGAGTGGCACCTAGCTAGGTACCTACGTTGCCAAACTTGGAGTGCTGTGCTGGAGGAGTTGTCTAAAAAATATGCACATGATTCACAGTTTGCATTATTGACCTTTAATTGAAATTGTTTTCTCATTAGCTTGGATTTGTAGGTATTTTTAAGCCCAAGTTTTAGGTTTTGTTTGCAGCTCGGTACATTCCAGTGCAGAATTCCAGCCTGGCACCAGGCTAGGTAGTGCCAGTTGTTGTATTGGGAAACTGGAAGGGAAACTTGGTGATAATACTGTGAGTGTGGGCTGCAGAGTTGGAATTATTCAGCTGAAGTGGTCAGTGGATATGCCTTGTGTGTTTATCAGATGTGATGTGTAATTTTCCAGTGAAATATTTGATGGACCCTAGTCTACTTTTTGAGCTGTCATATCATTGCCTTTGTTCACTACTGCCTTAGGTTCAGATATTTTAGTTATTTATGTAATGGTTTTGAGGACCTGACCAATAACTGATTGGACTCTGACTGATTTTCAGGACAAATAGAAAATCAGAAAAGAGGGTTTGACAGATATCAACACAAGTCAAAATCAAAGAACTTCACCAAGCCATGGGCAAAGAAGTCATCAACCACATTCTACTCAAATCATGTGCATGTCAATAAGGCAGCAAGAAGCTGGCAAAAACCAACAGTGTTCAATAAAGTGGCAGACCAGTCAGAGAAATTGAACCACTCAAAATTGGTATTAAAAGTTTCTAAAACAAAACAGCAACATCCATTGGAAGGTTCTTCATCAGTGAGTGGCAATGCTGTGCAAAAGCCTAGCCAGGAGCCTAGCCAGGTTTTTGTCAACCCCAACTTTGTGCCTGCAAAAGTGGGAGTTACAGTCCACATCAACCCCAAGTTTCAGTCACAGACTCCAGCTGTGACTGTGAAGGTGGGGAGCTCGGGGTCACTGGCTGGCCCCTCCTCAGCTGGTCCAGTTTCAGCAGCCATCCACACCCCTCTCCCAGGAGTGGTGCTCTCCTCAGTGCCTGGCGCGGTGCCTCCAATCACTACCTCTTCCGTCCCCTCCGCGGGCCCCTCTGCCCCGTCCCTGGGTCCCTCTGTCCCCTCTGTGGGCCCCTCTGCCCCCTTTGCAGGCCCCTCTGCCGTCCCGGCGCCGGGCGGCCGCACCCGCCGGCGCTCCCTCTCCCGCTACCGGCTGCTCACGGCAAGGAAACTGGTGCGCCGCCGCTCCAGAGAGGCGGCCCCGCACCCCACCGGTCACCGTGCCGCCGTCTCGCCACGGCCGCTGTCCGCCAGGAAACTGGTCAGCACGCGTCACAAGCTGGTGCGTGTGGTCAGTACTCCGCGCACGCAGCAGCTCGTCGGCAGACACACAGCTAATGGAGCAGGTAAGAATACAGTCACTCGCAGCAAGAGTGTCATAAGTGCGGTGACTGCTATGTCTGAAGGCCTTGTGAGCACTGTGTGCTGTTTACTGCCTTACTTACGAAGTTACTTAGGTAGGAAGTGCTCGTCCAGCATTCTTGAAGCATTGATACTTAATTTGTTTTGCTTACGTTGTCACTTGCTTTATTTATTGCATAGCACTAATGGAAACTGCAGGCATTGAACAATCGCGGGAGCAATCACTTATCAGTCGGCCGGAACCATAAACCAAAATTACTTTACTATAACTACCATCAACCCCGTCTTCTTCGCAGCAGGTACTCGCTCGTGGTCGCCCTCTGTGCCGTCCGGCCGTCCGGCCGTCTCCAGCCGATACCGCCTGGTCCGCTCCACACCAGCGGCGGCGGCGGCGATGGCAGTCAGGCCGGTCCTGTCCCAGCACCGCACGTGGAGGAGGAAGAGTATCACTGCAACTCCTACCGCCCGGTTGACGTGAGTATAGGTAGCGAGGACAGGCCGGCTGGGGGACAGGCACATACAGGCATATGTATGTTTTCAAGAGGCGCGTATATAGTCGTGCACGGTCTGGAAATACATGTTGGAAATCCAGAATGGTTGAAGCTTACCAGACTGAAAATTTTTCCTTTGAATACGGTGTCGTGTCGTCTTGCCGTTTGAAGCATATAACGCGCTAGGTATTTAAGTAGGTATTAGGTAAATGGTGACATTCACATAGGTCAACTGTAACGTGGCCGAACAAGTACTCAGCACATGTCACGTTTGTCCCGGTTATCCTAACGAGTACTGAATGTGCCGACCCTACTCTGCAGGAGTGCCGGCAGTCTCCGTCTGGGCTCCACACGGTTCGTTAACATCGGAGGCCTTCTCTACAAAACTACGGCGAGAAAACTGCAGCGTGCCGTGCCGAAGTCGACGCAGAAGAACGGGGCTGCTGCCACAGGTATGCTTTTTGCGGGTGCTTTTATAAATGGGCATTTGGTAGTATTCTGAAGTTCGGTATCCAGTATCCACGTTTGGAGGGGGATTATTGAGAACGGAAGCAATTGAATCGTTTTCCAATTCGTTGCATTAGCATTGTTGAGCCATAATCCGGGTTTCTTGTTTAGTATGTACCTCAGCTATAGCTGAGGTACTCTCAGCATGATATGCATATCAAAATTAAAACATAGATGTTTTAATTTTGATATGCATATCATGCTGAGAGTGAGACAAAAGCTTGTTATGCCGCCGTCCTCAGGGATGAATCAGTGAATCATTGAACCTCCCGACTCCCTCTTCCCCGACGGGGTCGTTCGTGTGTTCTCCGGGCTGTATCAGCGGATCATTGAAGTTTGACCCCCCCCCACGGCAGGATCGTCCGCCCGCTCCCCGGGTTGGATCAGTGTCCGCGGCGCCCGGTTCCGTGTCGAGGCCGGCGGCCGCAGCCTCCGCCGCGTGGACCGCGGTACGCCGGCGCCCCCGCGACTGGATATCGGGGGTGTGACCTTCCGACCGGCGGCAGACGGCACACTGACGGCGGACAGTCGCCGCCAGACGAGTCGCACGGTCATCAGGTCAGTGAGGGTGCAGGGATGGCGCTGGGATAATGGAACGAGTGACGCGAATGGTCTGGGAAGGTGCGAGATTGTATTGTTATGTGCAGCAGATGTAACTACTGTGTAGGTTTCAGATACTGTAGTGAATTGGAAACGCTGACAATATTTACCAATATTGACCTGAAATGCCTTAAAGAACAAATGCAGTTCATATATTCATTACTGATCTCGGTAGGCTGTTAACGTTATCATGCTGGCTCGCATCTGTCACCGCTTGGTGTCGTCTATTCGCCTCGTGACTCAGAAGTGGCTGACATCTGGTGGCCGTTTCCTGAACTACTATAGGTAGGATCCGGCGGCCGCTCCGTAGGCAGACCGGCCGGTCTAATCTCACGAGACCTCGGATTTCGAATACTTTTTCTTTCAAAATTGGAATGCAATGCACATAATTCGACGACAAATTCCTCATAGATCACGAATAATGATTCTCATAGCCCATCATACATCCTTTCACAGTCAAAAGGGCCCTGAACAAAGCGTCCCGTGGCACTTCGTAAGCAGTATTGCCTATTGGTGATTACAACAAATGTTAGGGCGGTAAGGGCGGCCGATAAGGATATTGCAATCCGCCGAAAGAGCAAGGTTCCTGGCACATTGTCTGAACCCTCGCCGTAACGGTTTTCTACGTAGGTAGGTACCGCCCGATGCTTTGGAACCGCCCTGAGATCTTAACCCGCGCACCGACGGGGGGGGGGCGGATATCCGCCCCCCCCTGAGGTTTTTCGCGAATAGCGGGAAAACCGCGGCGCGTAGCGCCGCGAAATTTGGTATGACTATTCCCTTATCAATTTTACACATGGTGTGCAAGTTTGAACCTCCTACCTTTCAAGGTCAGGTCACCAGGTCACTTTGAATGACCCAACCTCAAGTCACTTTTTTGCAACTTTGTCACCGTGCCAGAGCTACAGTAGATGTCGGAGGCCTTTGAAAGTCGCAGGATGTTATTAGGTCATTAGTAGCTACAATTTGTATATCTCGGAATTTTGATATCGGTGACCTAAGGTCAGGTCAATTTCGCGACCTCCCCATTATAAGTCAATGGGGGAAAAATCAACTCCCTGTTTTTACCACTAAAACGGGTCGGAATGGCCCCATATACCATACATGACTTCATATACGATCAACCTTCACTACCTTGAGGTCTGTTTTGCTGTTGGGCAGCTGTGAGGTCATGTGACGTCATCAAAGGTCACCAAAGGTTTTTGGCCAATAACTCCGTACAGGAACAAGATACAGACGCGTGGATGGTCTCATTGTGTTCAGCTCGTCAAGACGCATCGAATGATATACATGATGACCTCGAGGTCACGTGACCTGAGGTCAACCTTTGACCTTGACCTTTCGAGGTCAACATATATATCATTCGATGCGGATTGACGAGAGGATCACGATGATGCCCTTAGTTTGTTCATATCTTGACTAATTCGAAAGTTATTCGAGAAAAACTCTCTCCATATCTAGCGCCGCCATTTTGACTTTTTCGACCCCTGTGACGTCATCTTTGACCTGACCTGAAAATGACCTTAGTAAAAATTGTAGATCTTGACCGTGCGTATCCGATGCCGTTTACCGCTTGTCGCTATCTTGCTTCGTTCTCGAGATCTCAGGGGGGGGCGGTCATCCGCCCCCCCCCGTCGGTACTAAGTTGGCGCAGACCCCCGTCGGTGCGCGGGTTAAGAGCATTCATATGCCGGCATAAGACATTCACCTTTTATAGCCCGTCACAGGCCGACGTGGGGCCCTCAGAAATAGGCATGGAGTTCTCGGAAACCTGCATAAAGTCCTCATTGACTACCGTCGGAACTTAAATCTGCGATGGGCCCCAAAACGCCACCGTGGAGCCCTCAAAGACCTGTAGATTGCAGCCTTCAGAAACCAGCGTGGACGCTCGGGTGCCGATGTAGAATGATCAGGGATTGGTGCGGGCCAACGGTGAGTTCAGTGCGGGTTCGCTCAACCTTTCAAATGACCTGTTGACCAGTGGGATGGAATGGAACAGACTTACAAAACCAGCTGCTCGAACGGCGCCCCGGAAGGCGAAGGGACATGTTCATTTCACATTGCTTTTTGCTAATGATATCTGCATGTCAGGGCCAAAAGGCAGTAGCTACTAGCCTGAGCACTGAGCAGGGAATGAGGGAAGTATTCGGTTCAGAAGGGGCTGATTCTGCTCCCAATGATAGGGGGGATAGGGGGATATGTTATCTATGTAATTCAAACTCAGTTCTGAGTTATCACTTCAGATTCATAAGGCTTCAGAGGGTGGAGCCTTATGACCAGTGACACCAAAAATTTGTGACTTCTACATTCTTCCATTCAGTTATCAGTTACATATGTGAAAGATAAATGGCCCTGGCAATGAATATAACTTTAAGGGTACCCCAGGCTTGTTGAAGGGAAGGTATGAATGAACACCCGAGGACATCAGATTGCTTCCCTCTCCCAGGTAGTATTCTCACACCATTGATCATATGATGTTGATATAGTTCAGGAAACAAAAGAGATATATGTGCAAATTCAGGCCAGCTGTGAACGTATATCATTGATTACAATGCCTCTAATGCCACCAATACTGCACCAACTTCTAAAGCACTGAGCAGAGGTTGTAACTAATAAAGCAGACCATTTGTCGATTCAATGCTGAGTAAGGGGGTGACTGAGGTGAGGTGCAATGAGCTAAATATGTTCTGTGCTCTGCTGGACACATGTGCAGAACACATGTAACATATTGTGCTGCACCACACATGCCAGCAACAGACTTAATGGTAGCTCTAATCTCTTCAGCTACCTCCTTGAAACAAACAGCCATCTGCAGCAAGTGGGTTTTGAGGGTTGGCAGCAAGACTCCTCAGTTCCTTCCTTCCAGGGCTGCAGCCTGCTGCTGGAAGCTGCCTCAGAAACCCTAGCATAGTGGAACAGCTGCTGTTAGCAGTGGAATCGGGTTGGCAGCCATCACTTCTGACTTCCGATTTCAGTCAAATGCCACTAGTAGTTGTAGTCTGAGTCCTGTCTTTTGTACTTGTGTGGTCATGTCATTGTCATACCATGCTATTGCTAGAACATGAAAGATTGCATATGCACCTTATTGCCTGAAATATATCCATTCTAATAATGGAAACAAGATCATTTAACGAATTGCCATGCGTCTTTGTAAGCTGCTTCAGACTGAGATTAAAAGTCAAAGGTCATAGCGATTTCTGCAGCCAAATGCTGTATGATATTCACTAGCGATAGCAGGGTAATTTACTCCAAAGGTCAAAAACCCAAAACGTTACATAAAAGAGATCAAAATCGATAATAATCAGCTTCCCCCAACTGCCCCAACCCCAATTTCCACTGAAGCTGATACAGAAATACACGTTTACCGGTATTCGTAACTCGTGCGCCACATTCGCTATCCTATCTATACGGTTCTACGGTGCTGCCACCTAGCGAGGTGTCACGAGGCGAATCGCAATTCGTAACTAGCTGCCCCTTTCCCGCCCCGCTACTAACAACCCCTTCCTCTCCGCCCCCAGCCGCGCCAAGTCGCGCAGTCTGGCGGTGCTGCGCGGCCCGCTGCGCCTCAGTCGCCAGCCGTGCCGCTTCTTCTGCCGCCTGGGCCGGTGTCGGCGTTACGAGCGCGACCAGTGTCCTCACGTGCACGACCCGGCTCTGCGACCCGTGTGCACCCGTCACCTACAGGAGGGCGGCTGCCGGCGGCCCGGCTGCGCCTACAACCACGCGCCGCGGCCGGAGAAGGTGCCGCACTGTCTACACTTCCTGACGTCCGAGTGTCGCAGGGAGAACTGTCCGTATCAGCATGTTAATGTGGATGCTGACGCGCCGCTCTGCACCAAGTTTCTGGCCGGTTTCTGCGCCCGAGGACAGCTGGTGAGTGGGGACGTGGGGCGGAAGGATGGTGGAGAATTACGGGTAGCAGTTTGTTTGTTTGTTTTGTTTGTTTCGTTGAGTTAGGCCCTTTCGGTCGACAAGACCATTGCAGAGCCGGAAGGATGATAGGAATTAGGGGGAGACATTGGTCTGGGCAGGCATCCTAGTGAGTCGCCGGGGCTGAGCCCGTCCAAAAGGACAGGCCACCCAGCCCCAAGGCACTCACTGCACCCGGCTACGGGGTGCGCTCCCTCAGGAGCAGCGGTGCCGCTCCAAGGGAGCAGCCCGCATGAGATAACGTTGCCTGTCCAGCCCGGAGGGGGGTTGCGGCGTGGAGGAGAAGGATTTCAGTATCCTGAGGATAGAAGCACGGATAGGTGACGGGTAGCAGTGGTTGGGCGACTGTGATAAGGCGGTTAGCGCTGGTGTTCGATACACCCCTAGCAACTGTGTCTCATGTGAAAAGTGGGTACGGGTGCAGCGTTTTGTGTGTGTGTGTTTCTTTTTTTTTAATTCCTGATATTCCTCATTGGAGGATGCTATAGTACAGAGTGCGCCAGCCACACAGTACCCTTCTCTCGCTTATCCCTTCTAACCGTCTGCTGTATTCCGTTTCAGTGCACCGACAAGCACCTGTACATCTGCCCCGAGTTCGGTGAGAAGGGCGAGTGTCCGCGCGGCACCTCCTGTCCGCTAGCACACCGCGCGCGTCGTCACCGGCGACGGAGTCAGTCCGCTAGTACCGCACCCGCCCGGCCGCTGCCCGAGACCACGCCGGTGGCGCCGCCACGCGGCCGCGGCCGGTACTACCTGGGCGACCGGCCGCAGCCGTCAGCGGCAGAGAGCGACTCGGAGACAGAGGAGGAAGAGGAGGTAGAGGGAGAGAGGAGGCCTCGGCCGCCCATGGCCGAAATGCCCTCGTTTATCGCCATCGCAGATAGCAGTGACGAGGAGTAGTGAGGGAGTTACTCCCCCGGTGAGGGCGTTACTCCCCAAGTGAGGGGAGTTACTCCCTTATGTCCGTTCCCCAGTGGCAAACTGGTGTCGAAGCTGGACGAATATCACGGAAGATCCCTAGTAGTAACTAAATAGCTTAGCGAACTAGCTAGTACGTGGCATAACATGCCTCTGAAAACCTAGGTAGTCTTGGGTCTTGGACCAACGACATGGACGCAAACTAGAGTAGTTAAGTTTATAGTGAAAGACCCATGAGTCGGGAGCCTTGGAGGTGTGCGCAGACCTCAAGTAGTTTGTGCGATATGTTTAGTACAATGCATGCTAAATCCTTGGTGCTATTGTTTAGAATTTGACCCGGTGCCGATGTGTCCAAGGCTCGAAGTACAACGTGTGACTCTGTGCGGCTGCTTTGGGTGACGTGTGTTTGTGTGTGTGTGTGTGGGGGGGGGGGCTTCAGATGTGATTTGTGTAGTGTGATCTGTATTATTGTATATCAATACAATTTTCATACGACCGAGAAGTGCCGTGGTGTATGCGCTGCGGTTTGAAAGAGAACAAAAGCGATTGGCTTTATAACTACACGGTGCCGGATTCACCAGATATGCAATTTTAGACACAGTACGTCTTAATATTTCATAATAATGCGTCTCTTATACTCACTAGGTAGAACGGGGACGTTGCGCAGAATCTGCCAGCACGTAACTTTTGTGACCATTCTGTCCAAACGCCGCACGTTTCACTACCAAACTCCAATCCACTCACAGAGACAATACTGCTGACATCCATATGTATGTATTTCATCACCATCAATACCAGTACATTCAACATCGGGTGTACACTGTACCGTACACCATACAATCAACACGACACTAATAAAATAGACCACTCCCTGCCGGCGGTGGGGGGCGTCTACGTCCACTGCAGCACGGCGAGCTCCGTCACCGGACCACAACACTGACAGAACATGGCACACTGACGATATGTGGCGTCATCACCAACGTCACCACACTGATATGACGTCTCAACAGTCACGGAAGTACGTCATTGGCGCAGGGGCGTATCGCGGCACATCAATAAATATGACAGCACACAGTCGCCGGTAACAGGAATTACAGCAATACGCGTTATTTCGGCGGCAGTTGATATTTGACAGTTTCTGTGATGTTGTAAGTCTGAGGATCGACCCCTTTTCTCGCTTGGCTCGGTATCTACTATCTACGGTAATACACGGACTTCCATCGTTGGCAGTTAACATTGTGCGAGAAATTAAAATTGGGCGGTTGATGCATATTGTTTTGATTAAAATGCTAAACGAAAAGCACTGCGTTGTTGTAGTTGCATACGAACGGTCGCGACCGTGAACAATATAAATCAATGCACACAGTCGACATGATTCAAAGCCGAACGCAGGAAAAGGTGGTCTATAGATCTCAACTCAAGGGGACATTGCAGAAGACAAATAAAATACTGCGAGATTCTGCCGCGCCAACACATCACAACTGGCATGGCGCTGGAATATAAAAATAATACTTCAATTAACCACTACTTCAGTCATCCTATGACCCAGCAAACGGGCCAGCGGCCCCGTCGTAGCAAATGGTTGGGTTGGATCACAACACAGAAGTTCATAACCCGTCACACAGCAACATGTTCTGATTAGCCCAATGCAGGTGTGTGTGCCGTGTGCGTTACAGCATACCCAGAAATATCTTCCGAGACGGGCATGAAATGGATAGAATAGACGCGAAAAGTTCCCACTAACTGCTCAGTATAAACCTTTGTGCGAACAACCAGCAAACTCCAATTAAAATAAATATCGATCCCAACGAATAAGTAACATAGTCATGCATCGCACATTTAAATCATAAGTACCATCACAAATTATAAATACAATCACAGTTGATGAAGTAGCGACTGAGACCTTCCCTGCCTAGCCTTCTCCGCGGAGGTGCTCGTGGTAGCGGCCACCCAGTGGTGGCGCGCGGGGGGCGCGCTCGGGAGAGGGGCCAGGGACAGACACACACTCTAAGATGTGACGCTGACGAACGCCACCCACGGCGCCTCTGGAGGCGGAGGGTCGTGGAGAGCGAGGTGTGCTCCGCACGCCTGGACCCCCGCCCACTATCCTTCCCAAGCTCAACACCCAGCAGTAGCGGGGTGGGCACGCCACGAGAGGGCCGCTGCCAGCCTCCAGATGGTGTCAAAACTCCGCCAGTGTAATATCGAAGCATCAATAAAACTGGCGTCGACCGCTCAGTATCAAGAGGGCAAGCTACACAAACGTGAAAACTAAATGGCATAAAAATACAAACACGCAAGACTAAACCAGACATAAGACGATATGCTTTATATAAATCTTCATAGCATTTATAAAGCATACGATATATTTGTTCTAGACTGATCCCTGGATTTAACCCGTCACATCTAGGACGCTTGTATATACGCTGTAGCGCTTACATTTCAAAATTTGATACTCCTATTTTACATCTAGCTGGTGTGTGCTGTCCTACCATGAATTTTACCGATTGCCTCCCTGTGGGGAAACGACAGGGCCCTATCGTCTTTGGCACCGACTGCCGATTTCTACGTCCTTTCCTGTGTCATAACTGCCTCCTCCGCAAGCTCTGCTTTACAGTGGCCTCTTCTCGCCTAACTTCATATCTCCTCCCACACACTTCCTCACCCCTTCTTATCACGTGAGACCACCACCCTACGCTCCCGAACTCCTCAGCACTTCCACTCCCTCCTTCAACCATCCATCTCCTCCTCACCCCTTCCTATCGCGAACTTCTACTGCCAATTCCCTAAACTCCCCACCCCTTCCATTCCTCCTTCTACCGGTCTGCGTCGATGAGTCGATGCCGCTCGGAGCCTCCCGACTGATCTGACGATGTGTCTGAGTAGGGTGGCAGCTGGTCCAGGGCCGTGGTCTCAGCCGCCGCCCGCCGGCCGGCCACCGCGTGGTGCACGCCGTAGCCAAAGTACATGGTCAGCCCTGTGGGACGGAGAGGGACGTCAGATAGATAGGGGGAATGAAATACAGGGCACGATGAAGATTGCTAACGGGGAAAATATGTTAGTACCAAGCATTCAAAGGGGTACGGTAAATTTAGACGCGTTAAAGAATAAACAGAGATAGAGCCATACAAGTTGGTAAATTTGTGCATACCGCTTAACATGAAAATGGGAAGTGAGGACAGTGCCCAACGAAACAGGATTTTCGCTAAAAAGGCGGTGTAGAGAAACGGAAAGAGGAGCTTATTAATTGCGCCACATTAAACAAACATTGACCGAAAAAGCACAACTAACACATGTTCCAAACACGTAGCAAATGACGAAAAGCAGGAACGTTTTGAATGAAGGTTACCAGGGATCATTAATGACAAAGTTCAAGTAGGGCATGACCGAGTCACCGCACGGACATGGGCATGAAAAGAAAGGATGGCCAATTTTACTTCGTTTAAAACGGGAAACAGATAAACCGGATCGATAACTATAGAAGAAATTATATAAACATAATAACGTTTGAATTTTCAAGAATTTCTGAAAGGGCTTCCATGATCTTCTGGTCTAATTTAGCACGATCGGCCAGGCACAAATGTTCCATGGTTAAGGTATCTCGATAAACGAAGGTTACTGAACTGTTATCTGTACAATGTTACGTATTAAAACTGTTACCGCCGTAGGCCAACAATAACAAAAAGAACATCTGAAATGAAAACGCAATATATTTGGATACTGGTTTTAATAGTAACAGAAGTCGCCTAGACGGGTAACAAAAGTCAAATCAATTCAAAAAACGACCATATCTATCGAACAAGTAAAAGCAAATAAAAACATGAAACAAATTTTGAATTATCTGAACTCTCATTCACGTGACCATTTCTCGGTGATATTTCCAGAGTTGAAAACGTTTTGAAAACCGTTCAATGACATATTCAGTTTATGTTCGATCCTTCGTACGAATTCGGTATTTCAATTCGATGGGAAGCTCGATCGTTTCCGTTCGTTTTCTTCGTTTTTCGTTCGGAATTTCCAAAGCTCAGCTTCTCAAACGTTATCCCGTCAATTTTTATTAAGAATATGCAGTGGCAGCATGGCCCGCAATTCCTCTGGGAGACGAGAGATCTACCAAAACAGAACTGCGTTGATAGTTATCTACCAGATGACGACCCAGAGGTGAAAAAGGTCACGACGGCCGCGTGCATGTTACAAAATAATGCTGCAGACAACGTCCATCCTATACGTAGATGCATAAATTATTTTTCGTCGTGGAAACGTCTGACACGAGCGGTCGCCTGGTTACTCCGCATACGCTCTTACCTTAGGAAGAAAACCAGTGATAATCGTCGCCTTGCGCCAGAGGACATTTTAGAAGCTGAGCATGTCATTCTCAAACACGAGCAGCATACAACGTTCCAGCAAGAACTGACTGATTTAAGCTCCGAATTTTTGCGTAGAACAAGCAGCATTTACCGACTGGACCCCTATATCCACGACGGCCTCCTCCACGTAGGAGGCAGGTTGCGGCACTCCTCTTCCCAGCACACCACTAAACACCCTGTTATTCTTCCGGCAAAAGGGAGGGTCGTCGACATGTTGATACAAAAGGTACATGAAGATGTAGGGCATGGAGGTAGAGAGCATGTCCTCTCAGAAATACGAAGGACGTATTGGATTCTAAAAGGAAATAGCGCGGTAAGACGGGTCCTCGGAAACTGTGTCCGGTGTAGAAGAATGAAGCGCAAGCCGGAAACACAAAAGATGGCCGACTTACCTCCTGACCGCATTTGTGCTCTGGAGCCGCCATTTTCAAGTACTGGAACTGACCTCTTCGGTCCGTTTTTCGTAGCCCGGGGGCGAAGTCAAGTGAAAAAATACGGTATCATCTTTTCTTGTTTGAGCACTCGTGCTGTACACATTGAAGTTGCCAGCAGCCTTTCAACCGACTCCTTCATTTGTGCATTTCGCAGGTTCCTTGCGAGGAGAGGACAAATAAGAACCATCAGATCTGATCGTGGTACGAACCTCGTAGGTGCCAAGCGAGAGCTAAGTAGAGAGTTGGACCTTTTGGCTGACAGTGACGCAATCCATTCGGCAATGTTAGAAAAGCAGGTTAAGTGGATTTTCAACCCCCCGCAAGCATCAACTTTTGGTGGCGCTTGGGAGCGCATGATTAGAAGCGTGAAAAAAAATTCTTGATTTTATACTGCATCTGCAAAAGTTGACTGACGAAAGCTTGCAAACGTTTTTATGTGAAGTGGAGTACATACTCAACAGTCGCCCCTTAACAGCGGTGTCTGCGGATCCAAAAGACCCCGATCCCCTGACGCCCAACGATATCTTACTGCTGAGATCTTCTTCGATTCCAGCTGGCCTATTTGATAAAAATGACGCAGTTGGGAAAAAAAATTGTGGCGACAAGCGCAATATATGGCAGACCAGTTTTGGATACGATGGCGAAAAGAATACATCCCTTTGTTACAAGAAAGAACTGCAGATCAGCGCCTTCGATCAAAT